AGCTTTCCTTACCTCCTTCCCTTTCCCTTTTTTCCTTTTCCTTTTTTCTTTTCCCTTTTTTGCGCTCTGATTCACAATGTGACAATATATATATATATAGATAGATATGTGACAATATATATAGATAGATAGATAGATAGACAGATAGAGAGGAGTAATAGACCGATGAGATGGGTAGGTAGATCGGTAACGATGACTCCATATATATATATGCCCCCTGTTCTGTATTATTTGGCTGTTCCCTTCCTCTTTTCTTTGCCTCTTTGCCTTTTGGCTGTGTGCAAGTGGGTCGATATGACACACGGGGGTGGGGGCAGCCGCCGCTCAACCTACATCCACGTGGGCGGCCTTGTACGCAAGAGGTTCTGAACAGGGGGAGTTGTCAGGAGGAAGATTGAACGTGTTGTAAACGTGCTGCGACATTGTTCTCTCGTCTTAGGGCGTACCCACAGTAAGTACTTTTTCAACTTCTCTGTGTGGTCAGGTGCATGCAGGCCGGGTGGGAAAAACGGTCCTATACATACAGGAAAGTCGTAGTGTGAGTATTGCCTGTACCAAACATGTGGATGCCATTGTGACACGTGGGGGTATGACAAAGCTGTCCGCAGGGAATTTTGACACGTGGGGCCATTTTGACAGGTGGGGGTATGACAAAGCTCTCCGCAGGGTATTTTGACACGTGGGTGTATGACAAAGCTGTGACATGTGGATTTTGGCGATCTGTGACTCGTAGATTGTGAGACACGTGGATGTTGGCGAGCCGGATATAATACATATGGTTCTGTGCCACGTGGATGGCGACGAGCTGTAACTCGTGGAATTTGGCGAGCTCTAGCACGTGGAATTTGAGTGGCATGTGTCGGGGGATGCCCATGGCAGGTGGCTAGCTTCAGAGTTTTTGACACGTGGCGAGATGTGAAACGTTGGCATTGACAGTGTATGCTACACCGTGCCATGTGGCATGCTGCAGCTGGGTACGTCTGGCAGGTGGGCTCACGTGGTGCGTTTGGTGCCGAGGTCGTGAATATCTGTTACTCAATCCAGTTGGTTGACCATGGGATGTGATCGAATCATATATATGTAAGTAAGAAGATAAAAAATGAATTGATATCTTTTTTGTTTCCTTTTGTTTTTTTTGCTTTTGCGCTGTGTGTGTGTGTGTGTGTGTGTGTGTGTGTGTGTGTGTGTGTGTGTGTGTGTGTGAGAGAGAGAGAGA